CTTTCGGCCTCGGAAGAGGACGATATCCGCTGAAACGTCAGTTACTGCGGTTAGAAAGTGAAGTAACAATCTGACGTTTGGTCAACAAAAGAAAAAGAAAACGGCGAAACACCGAAGTTGACAGATGATCGCTCTCGAGAAAAAGTCATCACTGTTCGAAGTTGAAGACAAATGTTAGATAAATGCCAGTATTGACAAAATAAGGGTCTCATGTAGAGCAGTGGTTAAAGACGCCGTTCAATACAAGGGTTCGACTCCCCGATCCAGGCTCACTACTTCTTCCAACCCTCCGAAGTCGGCAAATTGGTGCCAGGAGTGTCTGGAAGGATAGCAACACTAGCCCGATGCATCGGAAGGCCACCGCAAGTCATTTTTAAGGCCAAATATGGATTCAGTCACCTCTAACGACTCCTAGTGAAGTCAAATGCGTGGCGTATCCCTCATGGATTGATTAACGTCGAGGGCTTTATCCTTTATCCTTTATTTATTGAAAAAGGCGACGTGTAAAATAGAGTATGTTATTCACATACCGGCTTTCTTCTTATCAGTCTTATCGAAGACCATGTTTCGAGTTTAGGATGGCTCACTTGCAAATTTACGTGAATTCTGCTCGACAGTTGACTTGCTTTCATTGGTCCGATAGCACGGTAAGTTTGCATTGTTTATCCTCTTCCATTCATAATTTGATTGTTGCTTCTGTTTTTCTGTCGACGATTTAACTACTCGATAAGTCGTGCTATGATGGAAAGCACCATGCTGTTTACACTTTTTTCTACCTTTGTTATTTTGGTGAGAGAATAATGATGGAATAGCCTTGCGGGCTCTAATGTAATTCTCCCATACTTGGTGCAGCGAGCTCGCACGAGGGATAACTGAGCAGACGTTAATGATGGCTCCCAATCAAAGCATTTTCCACTCATTTGATTGCAGGATTCTGGCCGAACTATCGTGCAGGACAAAATTAGCGTGTACGAAGGCACAACTGAGCTCGTGTTCATGGATGTGATTTCGTGTATACAAAAACTGTAACAGAGCCCGACTCACAGAGAGGAGAATGCCCTTTGCTTAATTCACCATCTACGTCTCAGGGCAAGTGTATGGTCACCTTGGATCACTGACCACGAATCATTCCGCATAGTAGGAAGGGGTCGCATCTGATCGAAAGACCACTTTTAGGTGAAAAAAACAATGAGGTATCTAATGTTTATACGCATTATTTGTTTACTTTGACACTTCAGATAGCATGCATTTATTTAGTCGGACAAGTGGACAGTTGTCTTCACGAGTAATAATGCCCTTGTATATCTCCCATTCGTTTTTTTACCTATTGATCGTGGTGGTGGTAGCCTCCCTTGAGCTTGGTAACTCTTCGAGTATGGTAATCTCCGCGAATAACAGCTAACAGCGGATCATCTTATATTGTCTTCGCGATGAATCCTCTTGCAATTTTTCAGGCTGGTTCCTTTTTGCATCGCTTCAAAAAGTTTCTTATGCCTGTCTTGATTTAGATCTTTCGGCAAGAATTTTATTCAGGTGGCCTTTGTTATTAGCGTGCTAAGATTGTTGTAGACACTTCTAAGTGGTAGCGGAGGTACAGTGTGAGCCTCTTACTTGAGAAACTGACGCGAATTCGGAACGATTTTTAAATACTTCGAAAAGCAGGTCGTAGCCTTCGGTTGGTTCTTTCTTAATCTGCTAATCGTGTATAGATTCGATTTCTTTAGAACATTCTCGACAGTACATAGCTTGACTTTTCTTCAGTACATGACGTCAATTCTTTCCCTCGAAATTGATCTTTCAAGAGTGCACCACTTTCCGACCGTGAAGGTTTTGTCGAGCTACTTATGTGTACCACCCGTAGGTAGCTCTAACATCCAGCGACAACTTTCTTCTTTACCAAAAAGATCAATTTCCACTGAAGAAATGTGTTGTGGACTAGGGATCAGCAACATGGTTTTCATCTTATTTCTCTTCTCCTATTTCAGGGCCTGTACTTGCTTTTTTAGCCAGCTAATTTCATTCTGGCTTTGAAGGCTGCCCCAACAAATCTATAAAAGGAGTTATCATTCTTGACTACCTCCACCAGTTCATAGTAGAACGCACTTATTTCGTACTTTTCATCTGCACTGGTCGGTGAGTAGTAGTCGATGGAACGTACCTTTTTATAACATGTGGACTGTACATAACGAAAAGATGAGTAATCGAGAGTGGTTCGAAAGTCTACGCTACTAAAATACCATTAAAAGACGTTTTTTCAATGGCTCACGAAGTTCATGCCTTGTGATTAACATATTTCGATGCTTTCGTCTGTTGTAAGGGGATCACATGGACTTTGATGCATTCTCAGGCCTTAACAACAGGGTATAGATCGATGTCTGAGGCATGTTCTGGCATCAAAGATGCACTGCAAGAAACATTCTTCATAGCTTGTCGTGGGCGTGTTCGTTAGGTCCGGTTCCAGTGACGTCTTACCCGAACTGAGATTTTGTCGCGTCTTCCCGATTGTTTGACGAGCTGACGCTATAGTGGGAAGCACATCGTATGAGAGCTATTGTGGCTGGTCTACTGCTCGATTGGAAACTTGTTCTTCACTGGAGTCCTGAGGTAAGTTTCCTAAGGTGTTTTCAGGTCGTCATCACCATGTGGGCTTGGAGAAAACTTTGTATCGAATGCAGTTCCTTTCGATCAACCGCCCTACCGATTGATTTAGGCCTGATATTTATAGCGGATTTAAACATGGAAGTAGGAGCAAAGAAGTGTTCGACCGCTCGAGGGAGATGTAAGAGAATGAATGGTCAAACAGCTTTCGATAGTGAACTCGAAGTAGGATAGCAAAGTTTTTAATTGGATCACGAATCGGCCATACTCTTTCATTAACAACTTTTACCTACTTCATTTATTTCTTTATTCCTGCACTGCCCGATTCGTTTTCTCCCAACCGTCGCCTATGAAGGTCCTCGAATTTTGTGCTTGGGCTCAATTGATCGTTTGAAACTCTCGGTCTTCTGAATGTCGTTGAATGCTGTTCGAATGTATGCTGCCTGTGATTCTAAAGTGTTTGCTAGGGTGTTCCAAAGTCTTCATCGCAGACAATAAGAAGTTTCTGTGTGTTGAAGGTAGTGAGTCGATCACGGACAAACTTCATACCGTTTTTCCGACTTTGGTGGTAGACAGTGCCCACTTGGCCGACGGTGGGGTAGGACCAAGATTTTTGTGGCTGCTGAACCTCTTTCACCACTACAGTGCTAATGACGCCATTTGAACTTGCCAAATCTTAGCTAGCATGAAAAGCTTCCATTCCAATTCTACGACGATTTTTCTCTCCTCTGTTACTCATCTTCAAAAAGCTGCTTTATTTTGTATTCATTTTCGCACCTCTTAACTTTCATACCACACCGACTAGCTAAGTATTCAGGTATGAGTGACCAGAAAAACCACGCAAATGTTAATGATGACGATAACAAGCCGTCTTCCAATAGGCAGGCCGAAAAATACTCGACGACATCGGAACAGAAGGTTTATTTCGATGCCTCTGCCAATTATCCTCATCCTGCCTGTCGCTCATGTCCATTACACTCTTAGAAAATACAATGCTATTCGATGTACTCGTTTATATTACTCGAACATAGAAACGTTTGCAATTGCACGCATTGACTTCAATGCATGCATTGGCGAAAAGCGAGTCGGCCTTTTAATCTCAGGTTAATGTATCTCAACTGTATACATGCTATACTTTATTGATTAAACTAGAAATCATTAGAAGCTGCAGATTTTTCCTAATTAGACGAAATTTTCACTTATTCTATATGAACAACTCCTTAATTGTTTTAATTTTGTATGTTGACTTTCAGCCTTCCACCTCGAGCGCTGAAACCGTTGAAAAAGCCCGATCCCAACCAGCTGGACTAGGTGACGCCGCCGAAAATGTCACCAAAACGGTCCGTTATAGCAATTGCATTGTAAAACTCAAGGAGTGGTATTTCCTCAAAGAGTGCCATAATTTTTTTTTATAAGTTTGTAAACTCTTGAAATTCTCAAATCAGAAAAATGACACTGTTTTAATCTCAATGAAGTTAGAGATTGATGAGAGGGTTGACCATCGCTTCGGTGGTTTACCTTTTGTCGAAATTTTTTCTTCAAAAATAACACCACGACGAAAAAAAGGCGCTATTTTAGCCCAAATATTCACAAGTGTTATGGTGCTATCCTAATAAGGATAGTACAATACCCGACTTCTTTTTCCAAAAAAAAAATGCAGCATATGAATGTCATCACATGGCTTTTTTCCCTAAACTAAAGTCATTTAGAAGCCCAGGATCCATTTAAATATTGTTATCTTATTCGTCATAAATCTTCTTAACTACATGGATCGATATACAATAGCAGGTGAGTCATCACCTTGCCCCACCTTTTTTCCTGCAAAGAACAGTTTTATTAACGAAAAACGTTTGCTTTTATCAGATGACAAGTATAATCTGCAAAGTTTAGGTAGAATTGAACCATTAGATGAATAACCCAGCTTTTTAGGAGTACTGACGAGTCTCCAAGGTTTTTATGATATAAATGACGCCCACGGTGGTCTTTTGCAAACGATATTTATGGCATTTTTTATGATTAGTTCACCAGTTTGTGGATTTTTAGGTGATAGGTAAGTGATAAACTTATAGCACAGAACGTCCAACGTTCATCAAACCCTTACCGGTGCGTCATGCATTGAACTCCACTCATGGCATTGTCGAGGTGTTTCATTGTATATTTGACCAATACAGTGATTTACGAGTGTCCAACGATGTATCAAGTCGCTATTTTTTTCTATTTTTTATAGAAATATTGTAGCAGTTTACCGACGTCAGAGAAATAGGGGATTGATTTCGCAGAAGAGCGAGAGAGAACCAAGAGCACGTTACTATTGCAAAGCACATGTGACCACTGCGTTGCGTGTGCCTTTGTGAAATTGAGTTTACGCTTTACACTTTACTCGCTGGTGAAATTGATGCAGTCGGTTTAGATATGTTCGAAAATGGATTATGGTAGTTGGAATAGCGATATGGGTATCCTCTGTATTCGCATCGACATTTGTTCCAGCCAGCGTTAGTTCTTCAGCCTCAGTTGTTTCCTACCTGAAGTTTTTATCACTCATTCCATCTTTTCTTTGATGGTTCCATCTTTCTTGAGCAAGAGAAAAGAAGAGAAATTGCGTATACCGGGAAAAAATGGAGGTGCTATCGGGAAACATCAATTATTACGGACAAAGCAGATCGATAAGCATTTTAGAAATACAGAAAAACGAGTTGGACTAGAAATATTAAAATAATATTTTTAAGATGTTCTGGCTGTTCATGTTTTTTCGTGGAATGGTTGGAATTGGAGAAGCGTCGTACGCTGTGATTTCACCTTCGATCATCGCAGATATGTTCACCGGAACGAATCGAAGTCGTATGCTGATGTTCTTCTATTTTGCTATTCCATGTGGGAGGTAAGAGAGTCTTGCGAGCGAAAGTACCTCCACGAAAATTAGACAGATCAGTTGTTAATTTTTAGAAATCGAGCTTAATTTTCTGTGTACCCTCAATTTTTTAAGCACCAGCCAAAGAACGACAAATCAGAAATTTAAGTTTTCACGTTGACCTCTCTCGTGGTTATATCTAAAACAAGTAAAATTAGAAAAAGACGCATTGCCTGAAGCGGTTTTGAGTCACTTTTTCCATTACTGGCGTTGTCCTTCCACTTAAAATTGATTAATTAGTAAACACTACAAAATCGGGACTATTCATTTGGTCCAGAAGCACTTACTGGTTCTGAATGTCTCTCGATAACAATGTCTTTCATTTGACGCGAAAAAGAAAGTTGTCCACCACACCAACGATTTGTTCTATTCTTGGAGCAAGAATAACCTAGTTTCATAGTAGCTTTTCCTTCACGGTAACTTTACTAAAGCCTTAGTGATGTTTCATAGCCGATCCTTTAGTATCAGAATCACCTTACTCTTAAATGCACTATCGGGTATAATCGATATTCAGATGGTACACGATTTTAACGGTTGCATATCTAAAAGATCTAGTGGATCTGTAAAGCTTCCCACATTTTAATCCTTCGACAGTAAGTTTCAGTGGCTTTGGATTTATGGTTGGCTCATCAGTGGCAGCAATGACTGGCGATTGGCGTTGGGGAATACGAATAACGGCAATACTGGGTTAGTTGAACCAGCAACCATGTATATACTGCAGAGCGTAAGCTACTGCACTTCACCTACCATTGTTATTGTATTAGTGCATTGATTTCAAAAAATGCACCGCATTGAAGGCAAAACAGAAGCGAGCTCGGGGTGAGAAAAGTATTTATGCCTCTATTCTGCAGCCACTAAGTTTTCGAAACAAAGGATAAAAGAGCTCTCGGTGTTGATCAGTCTCTGAGAGATGCGCCATGCATTCGGCTTCATGAAGCATCGTTTAGAGGAGATTGAATGCATATCTAGCCGTTACAATAATTCGCGATGGCCTACCGATGTGTCGAGCCAGTACTGCTATTCTCCTAGACAAGTTTGGTACCAATCTGTTGACCCTGGAGGGATGGAAGGCTTGGCGGACCATGGGGGCGGGGATCAATTCCACGTGTATTGCAGAGCGCCTCCGACCACGTCCCGCCCTCTCCGCCACACATGCCCCTTTCAAAACATAATGTTAAAATTTTAAAACTTTGTTAGTACTTGTTTTTTCCCTCTTCAACAGTTTGTGAAAAACACAACAGGGGTGTCTTTATTATACTCGTTTCAGGTCTAATTTTCTTGCCTCTACCACCGTCAAGTTGTCACTTTTAGGTGTTTTGTGTCTTTTTTTGATAATCGTCTTCGTCAAGGAACCAGAACGAGGGGCAGCAGAACGTCCAGAAGGTGCACATTGCACTGAAAAGATTCGCACCAGTTACTTTGAAGATCTTAAAAGCCTGGCAGGAAAGTAGGTTTTATGGAGAAGAAAATTATCTGTATTGTTATTTTCACATATTTGATAAATTTTTTTCATTATTACTCTTTTATCGTGATATTGATTGCGAGTAACTGATCAAGCTTTTCCAATGCATAGATTTACTCAAAGCCGGTCTTCAAGATGGGAATACCCATGCCAATGCCAAACAAATTCTCGGTAACCAGAATTTCATATACGCACGATAAAGCGCTAGGCTATCAGGGAAGAAAGGAAAGCGTACATGTGAAACCTAAAACATCTACTTGATAAAGAGACGTGGGAACTGCGGTGGATAAAGAGAAGCTTCGTAATAAAATCACAGTCGGCTCTTCGACGTCAGGCCAAACAAACCCGCTTCCCATACGGAGTCGGAAATGTGGCACCAGAATTCTATGGAGGATGCTCTCTTTTATCCAAAAGGTTCGGCGAATGCTTCTGGTGAAAACTTTCTAGTGAGGTATTGCATCATTTCAAGTAAAACAAACTAGACCAACAGCTAAGGACATTCATGAAGTAGTCAAGATCCTCAAGTGAGAGCCGAATGCTTCCAAACTTCGGAGACCGTTGCGGAGGTAAGACAGTTGGCCAAATGGAGGAAGTGATAAGATTCACAGGTCATGTAAATTAATAAATATCGAAAGGTAGAACAGATAAAGAATATATTGAATTCTCTCCCTGCAGTGTATTATGTGTCCGACGAGAATTACACTTATGAAAATGAAAACAAATGTTGCCATTTCAGTGCGACGTACGTGTTTTCAACGGCCGGCTATACAGCGATTATCTTCATGGTTGGTACGCTATCATGGTGGGTACCAACAGCAATCGAACACAACTACGCTTACGAGCGTGGACTAAACAGTACAGATCAGCTGGATCCGGACACAAAAGCACAGTTGGTTAATACACTGGTCTTCCTGTCTACTAAAATTTCGAAAAGTAAGCTGCCCTATTTTTATGTACGCTTTCATGCTTAACGGCAGAGTGAAGGATGTACCTCCAATTTTTTTAATCGTTATTCAGTTTTCGAAACGCTGTAGAGATGTGAGACTCTAAGGGAGAAGTGTCTGGAAAACACTGCGAGGAAGAGTGGCTTTATAAGATTGCGTTCAGTCATTCACTAGAAGAGTCCTACAATAAGAACTGATGAGACCACCAGTTTACCAATACCTTAACAGTATTTCGGTTAAAAGTGTATTTTCCTTTTTTTTCTTCTATTGTTTTTGCATAATAGTGAGGTTTTGGCAGTTCAGTTTAGCAAGGGCTATAGTAAGCTTATTGCACAAAAACTTCAGCCATTGTGCTACCCTCTATCCATTTTTGACACAATTACCTCAGCTTTAAACTTTTCAGTGAGACGTATTTTTCATGAGATTTCAATTTTTTTCTCCAATTTCTACAATAGCTATCGCTACTAGGAAATAATGCTGACGATTTTAGGGTGAATTTAATTTTTGGTGCTATCACCTGTACTGGTGGAATAGTTGGTGTTGCTGTTGGGTCGGTTCTTTCTCAGGTGGGTTCTTCCATATGTTATTTGTTGACTGCATCTGGTGACCATGGATGTTTTTATAATGTTTTACAACTCTGTGAGGACACAATGTGCTCGGTAGTTGAACCACGACATATACCCAAAAGTTGGTTGCTGAAGAAGTGTTTGTCTCCAAGTCGGAAAAAAGTTCGACATTTTTGTCCGGAAATCTAAGTGGACGAGGTGAGGATAGTGCAATGGTTAGTGATGCCGTCGACCAGGAAGCAAAGCCGTTAGCTCGGTCTGCTTCCCAACTATCTCCATCAAATCATGAGAGAGCGCCTCAGCCTTCCTACCTTCAAGATTGAAAACAGAATCGGCTGGATAAACATTCTACAGCATTCATAAAGAGAGCCGAATCCTCAAACAGCGGCTGAAAGAACACGCGAAATGTTCGAAGACCCTCGTGGGCGATGAATGTAAGAAAAACGAACCGAACTCGAGAAGAGCTGAGGTTTGCTCAGTAAACATGATGATGAATCAGGTAAAATAAAAAGTAAAATAGGAGTCTAGGTAAAAGTCAACAATGCTAGAAATCATCGTTGTTTTGAGAGAATATAGGTGAAAATCAGTGTGCCACTACATTATCCTTCCCACGTCTACTGTACCAGTATCTAATGCTTCCGTGTAAAAAGTGGAAAAACCCGAGTTTGAGGCACTAGCACTGTTTCTTTCCGTATAATCAAAATATTCAATAACCGAACAATTCTATGGCCTGAAAAATCTATGCCGATTTTGGTGAAGTAAAAACGATTTTACAATTCTTATAGAAAGCATGAGAAGATAAATAGAGAGAAAGGAAAGATCAATAAGGAAAACTGGTTTACTTTGTAAGCGAACATGAAAAAAAGAGACGTTCTATCATACAACTGTGTACATCAAGAATTTCAGTGCTATCGAATCAACAGGGAGAGAAATCTTTCGATACGATATCTGTTGTATGACATATGTTGGGAATATTACCTGCATATATGAAGGTCTCTACCAGCTATGAAATTTGCTCTAGTAGCAAAAGCGCTAGAGGTTTACCAATACCTAGGGATGCGCTGGTCATTTGACTCTATAGAATCATCATAGAGATGAGGTTGAATGCATATTTGGATAATACTAGAAGCTGGGTGAGCCGGTGGATGTTTCAAGTCGGCGTTTTTCTTTCTGGGATATAATTGCAGCCTACAAAGGAATGGACGGTTAGATTTTCCAGGGATCGGAATCTTGCCATGGAGAAGTTGAAAATATACCGAAGGAAAAAAGCACTCACATGCTGTGTCAGCAATAAGTGAAAACCAGTAACGGTTTTCATTCTTACTGACAAATCACTCTCTTACGGTCACTTGAAGAATCCAAATAGCGGTAAAGCGGGTGAGACGCTGTGTGCTGATCAATTCGTAGATATTAACCATGGTTTTGACTCCATTGAGTATCGCAAAGGTGGATGAATGCATATTTCAGCGTATTTCATATTTCAGCGGTGACATGCGCTGGCTTATAAGCGCATCAAGTCATTGCTTTTATTTTCTCAAAACAATCTGCTACCATTTAGTCTACTTTGGGGAAGAGAGGGTTTAATTGGTACGATGTGCGAGACCGAACGAGAGACCCTGTTTTCATTACCGAATACCTAAACCAATACATTAGATTTGCCCCACTAATCGTTAGTATTTAAGAAGATGGTGTGACCAAGTGGTAGCTACGGTTATTGTTCTGTTTTAGTGGCTACATGAAGGTGTTAGTGTGTTCCGTTTCGTGAAGACCGTTCGATCGGATGCAATTGTTTGTGGCTTAGGTGCTCTTATTAGCATTCCTTCCTTATACTTCGCTCTTCGCGAAATTCCATACAATATGGCGGCCACGTGGGTGAGTATTTCATATCGACTTCCATAATTCACAATTGTATACTCATTACTCTTTACGAATAAAGCGTCGACAGAGTTGCAAGTAATATGCTGACAATATCTTTGTAATATAAACATTATTATTAATACAAATTAGTGGTAACGATGCTGTCCAGTGCGTGTAATGTCTAGGTTCAGCCAGGCCCCGGTTTGTCAAGCCCACCTGGAGATTGGTGGAGTACTCTTCTTGATCGGTTGGGTCCCTCTAATCCAAAACGGAATGCACGTGCCTGCGATGGAAATCTGGGAACAGCGTAGGGCGGCTATCCCAGAATTCGTGGAAAAATTGACCTGACCAGCATTCAACTAACTCATGAAGAAGGCCAAAATTTTAAATCAGCCGCGGAACGCAGTAATCCGAAAAATATGGGTGACGGTAGTGAGGCAACGAATCCAGTACAGAAATTACTGACACGCAAAGAACATGTGGTGTTCGGTCGTGAGAATAAGTATAAAATTCTCAAATTTTTACTAACTGATGACTTAAGCAGTCTCTAGGAAAGAAGGGTTCAGTTTGTTTGAAGAAAATTATGGTGGTTCAAAATTTCAACATTCTAAGAATTTTTTATGAATTAGTGATGTTTCTCAATTTTTCTTTATAGAGGCAGATCGTTAAAGATTTTTAAATGTAATTGTTTAGGTGTTGATGTTTATTTGTGTTACGTCAACATGTTTTAACTGGGCGACAAATGTTAACATGCTGATGGTGAGCTGCGCGGACTCAGCCCTTCCTGTTTTTTTCTTTTTTTCTTCTATATTTCTTTCTTTGTTTCACTTAATGCGCAAGGTAACCTCTACCACATAAAAGTTCACCTCATGCTTCAGCAACCAGGTGCCAAAATTTTCCGCAAGGAGTTCTTGCCCGTCCATGAACACCGTCAACATAGTATGGTAATCAATTGTGAACGGGTTAGAAGAGTTATTCCAGGAATCCAAGGCCTCATGATCGAACCAGCGATCGGTCGAATGACAATCACTCACTAGGCACTAGAGGCATCTCTAACCATAGGAATACACACGCTCATCAAGAAGGAATATGACTGCTGGCGCTCTCTTTTTTCGTGTAAAACTTTTTTCTCCCTTTCCGATACCTGAGTAAATCGCTTCCATCACCTCAGCTCCTGTAATTAACCACCTGCCACCAAGTATTTGTAGGTTTCCTTTCTCTACAGAATGCTGCCTGAATCGACTAGATTTTTCATAGGCCACTGAAAACATTATGGCTTTGATAATATGTTATTTATTCTTGTTTTGTAGAGATAACATCGCGTACTACCTCAAGATCTTGCTTTTTTCCGATTAGGCCTCTGGATAGAAGTTTGGAACTTTACGTTGACCCTGCTGATGGGATAAGAGTTTCTTGAACGTCACAATTTATCGCCTAGCAAGCTCTGTTGCTAGGATAAGGTGAAAAAGTATTTAGGTGGAAAGGGTCATTCAAGTATGAAATTTTAACGATAATGGAACATATTGTATGGAAATGTGGAACAAACAAAACAATATGATGTTCCTTTCTCTGTTTTGTTTTTGATTAGACAATTTTTTTAAACAGTGTACTTTGATGGATGAAGAGGTTTAGGAGGTGGTAGCACCAACTCGACGAAATGCGGCGGTATCGTGGCAAACTTTAATTTCCCATCTTTTCGGAGACGCTTCAGGACCGTACGTACTAGGGATGGTAAGTAAAACTTTATTTTCGAGAAAAATTCAAAAAGAATTACTCACCTATAACGATGTCTGATGACGTCGAGTTTACAGCGCAACGCTCAAAAATACTCAACGCCGAACTCTTTTTTCTTTGTCCAGGCTTTACATAACAGCTCAAAGATTAAGAGAGTAGCGCGTCCTAAAGAGGTTATCGCACAATCTATCCGTTAGTTTTTAATTATGGGTAATCGAAATGTGGTAAATTTCTGAAATGGTATTATTCTTGTAGCAACATTCGAGCACGTCGAGCATCATTAGCTTAGGCATCCTTACCAGGGTTAAGACCATAATCACACGTAATAGCTCATTACCATAGCACACAATCTTGTAGTGGTTAACTAGTGGTAAAACTGGACTAGAAGTGTAAAATCCGTCTTCATACTTGCAATAGCGTGCCACCGAGGAGAGCTTAGCGCAGCGGCAAGAGGTACTGTGCAGCACACATGTGGTCTTTTGGTTCAATCTCAAACCCCTATGCTTCAGAAAACCACAAATTAATAGTGAAAAAGTGTTTGGAAAAACACTGACTTATAAAACCAGTTATTGTATGGGTCTAATATGCCCTAAATCACTTTCATTCAAATCTTCGTCCTTAATAAATAGATCAACTCGAAAGCTCTAGAATTTCTTCGTTGTCTGGCAGAAAACTGACTTTTCGCCTTACATGACTGAAATCAATCTATATTTTTCACCTCCATTCTCACAAAAGCTCAATTCTATATGTATATTATATATTTGAATATTGATCTTGAGTTTTCGTCAACGCTGTTTAAGATATCGGATGCTGTTCGTGGCGATGATACTTCACCCTATGGAAATTTCAATTCGCTGGTGACGTCATTCTATCTTCCTAATTTCCTTCTCATCATTAGCGCTGCTTTATTTTTCGTCGCTGCGTATGTATTTGTGAGAGATCATAAGATCTTCGAAGAAGAGATGAGTGAGTGATTAGAGTTGATAAATTTGAGGTTTGATTTCAAAAAAATTTTGCAGCTTCTATGAACGTAGTTGAATGATGTTTTGTTATGTTGACATGTTTTCTTCTGACCACGGAGTTTGTGAAAGAGTATGCAAGTACGTCCTCAGTTTGGCGCCGTAGGCAATCACCGGCCGTTGCAAATCGGACAATTTGCCCACTTGCAACTAAACTTTTTCTCCTTCGGTGTGCATCGCAGAGATAAATGTGTTGAATATCTCTCTTAATCCTGTGATCGAATTAGTCAGAGAAAGCGTAGCGTTTAGATGTACGTTGCAGTGAACACTTGGCCATTGGTTCAGTCTGGCGCTCCGGCTAGACAGAGTTCTGATCCGTACGGGATTATTGGAATCCTCACTTGTCTGGAAGAGTGAAAAAAACCGACTTGATACATTGGCAAAATTGAGTCTAGAGTACAGCTTAACCCTTAGTAACTGGTGAACGTTGAACACTTTGTTATTTATCTTTTAATGACCAAATAACTTGATAGATACCAGAAAGAAACTAGCTTGAATTACAACTGAGAACAATGTCAACTTTTTATTTACTGCCTATTTCGATTTTTCACGGCAGGGTACTATGTGTGATGCAACCACAGTGATGCTGAGATATTTGCAAAACTCCGGACCACAGGTGTCTGCGGTGGACAGCGGACGCGCTATTGTACTCTCGGGGGAGTAACACATTCACCACCACACCATGCGGGTCCTTCGTTTCGCCTGTCCCTCAACTAGTTCTATCAGATTTTTATAACCAAGAACATCACACTTTTCACATGGAGCTCTCGCTAGGATATTAATACTTTTGTCGCCTATGGAGAGTGAGTACCGAATAGTAGCTCAAAATGTCGCCTTTGGTTGGCGATTGACCCTAACTGACTCTTAAGCACATGTCAAATAATTTTACGATAAGGCAGCTAAGAATCCGATTCTTCGATGATATATAAGAGAGTACCGTCAGTGCATTTAATACATGAAATCGAACTTTTAGCGGTATCTCAGGAAAAAGAAACACTTTATTTCAGAAGAATGCTAGTTAATTGGAGTGCGATCCTGTTGTCCCAAAATGTGGTTCTCGTTTTCTGAAGAACCGGTTCAGATCCAGTCACTCTTCGTTTCTTTGCATTTTCACATCATCACTGTTAATGTTTCTCTCTTTGCTTAACTAGACCATAAATTCTCAAAAATTCTTAACAAGAGGTGAGGAATGAGAAAGACGAATAAAAATATATAAAGCTTTGTTTTTTTTGTTTGTATTCACTACCTTCGAAGGAGAAACAGTAAAAGTAAAATTTCTAAAAGGGCATCACTGAGTGAGAATGCTTCATTAGAGGAGATGGATCGCTGAGGAAGACCTGACTCGACACGAAGGCGGAGCTGCCACGTCGAGACGGATAACAAGCGAGGACCATCGACTCGGATCATCGGCTCTAAGGAAGACGAAGACGTTGAAACGTTAGCCGAAAATAAACATCATTATCAACCTCGTGTAAGCTCATCAAAGAAAGAATACATATAGTAAAAGTAAAGTCGTTTCGGACACAGAAAAGTGTAAGTTAAATCAAATTTTGCAGCAAGGCCACGAAGATGATGGAAATAGCACTAATTTTGAATTCATTTAACTTTCTAGTTTGTCTTTTAAAAAATTTCTGGCTTGGCTATTCTTTCAATTAACAAGTTTTCCAATGTGATCAGCCTTCACTGTTTCGTCAGCAAATGTAATTCCTTAGAACGCGTGTAGCGCAGTGATCAGAATCGCCCTGCAATACAATTCGTAGTCGTTGGTCCGGTCCTCACTCCAAACTAAGCAAAACTTCTATTCTTTCTGGATTAATAAATTGATACAGGACTTGTCTGGAGAGATAGCAGCACTGCATTAATTTATTAGTAGGCCACCACGTGTCGCTTCACTGGCCAGTTATGCATTTTAGCTTTTCTAACGATGCCTTATGAAATCTAATGCATGGCACATGACTTGGGGATCGGTTAACGTCAAAGAGTTATCTTTTAACATTTCTTAAAACTGAAAACTTAAACTGATAAAATGTGTTGGATGCTATAGTGTTCAATAAAGATATAAAAAGATGTATGAAATACGAAACATTTCAAGTTTAGTTCTAATTCAGCAAAACGGTAAAGGAAAACGTAAATTCGTTCACAAGTGACTTAAGTGGCACGTTTACGTTCTTGCAAGAATGGCTTCGGATAGATAACGGATTGCTTGCGTAGAGCCCACACAAGAAGTTTCGTCGTTTGGTCAGGTGAAATCATGAAACCAAGTCATTGTAATCGTTTGATCCGATTGAGGATCCTGTGGAGATTGGTGGTGGTGCACCTATTTTAATGATTTCTGCTATCATATCATGAAAGCGAAAATCAGAAGGGAAACGGCAGCACTAGAAGAACGCCAGTGAGTGTGAAATTTTACATTTCGATAATCACTTAGGAACATATCGCGCCACAAATAACGGAATTAGATGAGATCGGAATGGAAGAGAGTGCTCGTTAAATTCCGAAATAGGCATCAAGTTTATGTGAACTTCATCACATTCTTTGCCCACTTTTGCGCTGATGAGGTAGAGAGGGTTCATCGTTCTCTCCCATACGAGAGAACTCTCGACTGATTACTTTCACGCTTCTGTCACTCGCAGTTAGGTTGACAGCTAAAGAGTTAAAAAATGAATGTGTTCTTTTTTAAGATGTAAACGGAGTCCCACATTGGGAAACTTATCTTAGCCGCATCAGAATTACTTGTTTCTTCGTACTACAGGTGTTTACTTATACATTTGTGTTTGCTTGTAAGCTGCATCTCGCAGATTGGCTTAAAAAACTCTGTTTGCTGAGAAAGTGACTAAAAAGTATTTCTGCCACCAGACAAGCAGCCATCAGAAAAACTCCAAGAGAGTATGACAGACACGCAGAGTACTTCTAGCCCTACGTGAAAGCACGCTTTCTTGGTATTCGCTCGATTGACAAGGTGATTAAAGCGTCGATAAGCGTTAAAGTAGACGATGGCAATGAAACCATTGACCAATTGTATACCAAATATAAATATGCGTTGACAGCATTCAACGATCGTGTTAAATGAAATAAGGGCAGTTGTATAGGAGAAGAGCAGTTTAGACTGCATTCGGAACACTCAGAGAAGCGAACCAGATCTATAGAGAGACCCAAACCGCCGGTTCCAGCTTTTTAACCCAACGTTTTTCCAATCGCTATAGAAACATGGGCCATGTTTAGCTACCATGTCAAAAATTCGGCGCACTCCCATACAGCTTTTGAACGATCATGTCTTCCGAAATATTTTCGTAAAACAATGTGCTACTCCCACGCACCCCGTTCTGAAAACCACAAAATAAATGGGCTTTTTGTACATAAACTGCTTTAAAACACGATGAATCACAGGCAATTGGGAAACGGCACTGTCCTGCTTTCTAAGAAGGTAAAAGTTTGATCACCGTTATCGAGTGACTGGTGTAAACACACTGATTCATCCTGTGCCGTTGGCTCGCCAAACTTTCCATTCTTCCGGGTTCCGAAAATTGGTGCCGGACTTATCTGGGAGGATCGTTCCAGTGACTCGACACATCAGTAGGCCACCTCAGGCCACTTTATTGGTTAAATATGTTTCAGAGCACTTCTAACGACGCTTGATGAACTCGAATACATAGCGCAATCCTTGGATTAATCAACGTCAAGAGCTTTACTTTTTATCCCTATATATACGTCATCGGGTGAATTTTCATAGGAAATAATGAGGCACCGTTGGCAGCACTTCAAAATCAAATTAGTCAATACAGGAAAAGGTGGGCAACGCGATTATCCGAGATGTTTTATGGCTCAGCGACGAGCTCATTCTAGAAGTCCGCACTACTTTTGGGTGAAAAATAGAAAGGACCATTTTTTACTGTAACAGCATGGACATAGTGTACTTCTATGCCACTCTGAAGGGTGCGTGTGGCTGTGGCGCAGTGGTTAGAGGCGCCACTGCGACACACGTAGAATCGATTTCTGCGACCATGGTCCACCAAGTCTTCCATCCCTGCGGTCTCGGCAAACTGGTGCCAGACTTGTCTGGGAGGATAGCAGAGCTGGCTCGATACATCGGTAGGCCACCGCGAGTCATTGTAAAGGCCAGGTATGCATTCAATCACCTCCATCGATACTTAACGAAGTCAAATGCATGGCGCATCACCCAGGGACTGGTCAAAACCGAGAGCTGTATCCTTCTATCCTTCTATGTCACTCTATGTTTTTGACGCCAGCGAAAGATGCTGGACGAGTATACTGTTCCAATAATACTTTATTAAAGATGAATATCCTTACGTAATACACATTAAATTAATGTTTCTATGCAAAGTGATTATTCCCAATTTTTGGGCTCATGGCTGTGGACTAGTTCATGCCACTTCATTTATTAGTCAAATAAGAAGTTTAGCATATAGTGCACAGTCCAGATTATGCATGTATCCTGAAAGTGGTGAATTGACTCGTTGGTTTGAGAGAGGAAACTCATACAACTGCGGTAGCATAGCCATTTTCCACTAAGTTAGCAGCAACCAAGAATGCTACTAATCGTAAAAATTTATGTCGTTCATTCATAGTCTGGCACCATCTGCACCATCTACACCACCTGTTAATGTTGTTTAGACTATTCTTTACCTTTCTTAAGATGAGTTCTTTTATTTCTTTCCACCTTGAGGCACGTAAAAGTTATTGATGGGATCGGCAGAATTTAAAAGGATTCGTCAGTTATCACAAAGACATCGATACGATGTCGATAAGGAACAACGGGAACGAATTGAACGTGCTCGCAAATGCTAGACGACTGAGTTTGAAAACACATGAAGTTTAATAGGACTCGACAAGTTGAGACAAACTTGCCTCAAGATGCTCATATGATACGTTGTCATTCCATGTTTCAAAAGCTGACACCTTTTTGTTTATCTGTATTTGGGCTCCAAAGATTCTTC